TCTTTTGCATTTTATGCATGCGGAAAGTGTATATTTAGGTTTCAAAAAGTTTCCAATTATGATATGTTTAAGACCATGGATGTCCATGCATGCGAGACCGCATATGTCCGATGAGCACTGCTGCTCATGAAATGTACAACACAGTTCGGATCCATTGCGAAATTTTATGAAATCCTCGTGGTATCTTCTCAAAGAATATGTGATTTTCCTTGCGCGGAAAGCATGCAGCTTGCTGAGGGAAATCGTTGATCACCGATGCAGTGGTAGATCAGGCTCAAAAATATACGGGCATTGAGAAACTTTATTAAAACCTAAATTTACACCTTCTTCATGCATAAAACGCAAAGGCAATGTTATTTTCTACCATATGAGTAAAAAAGCTTATTTTTGTACATTACTTCTGTAAAATATATTTGACTCTATAAGACCATCGAAAATCCATAGGAAAATTGCATGCTACTTATGTAGTCATCTTTTTACCGTGTATGGTTTCTGCAGAAGGACAAACTGGAGTGCATCCAAAAGCTAACATCTTGGCAAGTCCGAAATGCTATAGGATTATGCCGCATGCTAATCAGTATTACAACCCCACCTAAGTAATCCCTTCTAATCGAAAACGAATTTCAGAATTTCGGCCAACATTTCATGAGATCGGTCACGCACTGTATTTCTAGAGACTCAACCTGCAAAAATGATATAAAAGCCAGTAATCTTACATTGCACAAACGCAAACATTGACGAGAGCGCCTGTCCACGAAAGAAAGCATATTTTTGTGACTTGTGGTCCATATCATGCGAGCAGCACAACATGTTAGAACACAAGCGCCTCACAATAATAGGCTTGGCAAAATGGATGATCATTAGCTGGAATCCATCTACGTCGGAAATGACTTTCAAGTGCTTCTATCGACTGTTACCTATTCGGTAAATAACTTCAATGGAAAGTATGTTAAAAATGCGCGAGAAAGAGCTCGGAAATTTCTGTGAAACAAGTCAAAAGCGGGCCTGAGTGCAGCTCAGTTCACGTCGACTCCTGAAATTTTTTTGAACTTCAACTCATCCAAGGCAGGATTGGTGAGGAAACATGTTTAACAAAAAAAGTTGGGGGCAACATGCAGAATTTAATGATGCAATAGAATTTCCTGACTCCTTATTCATCTGCCCTCGGTCAATGCATGCTTTTGAAACTAACGGTTTGCGAAACAAACAGTCTGAGGCGATCAAATGGGAAGAGGACATTGACGTCAGTGGAGGTCGATCAGTCACATGGATGGGCATCTTAAAGGAATAAATTGCTGTTGGGTAGCGAGTTTGGTTTAGATTGAATCTTCTTCCGGCGTGATTACGTCTCCAGCGCATGGCACACCAGTGAGTCTGTGGTCGTGAGTAGTTGGACCAGCAATCACGAAATGTAATGGCCTCATGGCATTCCCCAGTCTTTCGCCAACTTCGCTCAGTTGAAATCCATTCTCGGAAAGTAATGTCTTGTACATTCGATCAAAGGAGTTAGCAGGTTCATAGAAATGTGAAAAAATGATGTACGGTTCAGCGTTGGTATGAGCCACTGCATAAAAATCGGAACTGACACCAACTGGTAATGGAGTTAGCCGACGGGAAGTTTTGCGTCAGCTTAAACAGACTGGGGGTTCTCGGCAGTGAGCAAGTGAATCAGATGTATTTCTTGACTCATTTCAGCGCATTTATACTGACCTTCAAAGGACCTTTCGTTTATTTAATGCAGACCTGTTGAAATGCTGATGTGTAGGCCACCAATCTTCACCTAGTTGGCCACAAATGGCGATTAAGTCGGGAGAATGATTGCATGCTGAGGCAGTGCGTTAGTCGCCAAATGAAAAAAAAATATTGCCAATCCCTTGCGCATTTAACCCACCGAGCAGAGGAAAGGGATGTGGAAAAATACGTTCACATTTATTAATCTTTGTACATTTAAGCTTTGGTGTAGTGTCGAACACAAGACACGTCGCCCACTTTCAGAGTCTGCAAAAGAGAATAGAAAGGGATTTTAGAATGAGTTCGCTGCTGGGCGAAATTTATACGAAACAAAACACCGAGAACGCGATGATTAAATGGAAATCACCACCTCCTTAAATATCTGATCGTTCTTTCTTCAGTGAGTTTCGTGCTAGCAAAATTTGAATTCCGATCTCATTAATAAATCCTACAAGGGCATTCTATTACTGCAGCCATGGCAATTACAAGCCTCCTCCTTGTGAACTTCCAGGGACAATCCCATTTCCTAAATTTGCGCCTCATGCATTTCCAAATTATCCTGGCTCGCACAGAGGGCTGGCTCGGGTCGCCTAGTCTGCCTGTAAGTCACCACTATAGTGCGTGTGGCAATCTCCAGCTAGTAGATACCGCGGCGCTGGTTGCACTGCCCTCTTCACCGATTGGCGGTAATCCAACGAAACTCAGGTGCAAGCACTTCGGCTGACACTGGCCTGATGCGAACGCTTGCTGCGACTGCTTGCTGAGCTGCGTGTATACCCTGTAGCCGTCAATATGACTTTCCGATCTGGCTCCCTTTCCTGCTTTCTGTTTTGGGATCTTCGAATTTTCCACCTTGGTACTTGAACAATTCTACGAAATCGCTGCCGGTGCAGTTACAGTTAGTTGGATAATCTGAAATGAAATTCCCTCAAAGCCATATATGGTGTAAACACACTCTGCCCAGCAACCGTTTAAGGCACAGGCTAGTTTATGCATGAGGTAGTTTTCCCTGTTTCTTGCAGCCGTTTAACGGGCCTTTTCCTGGTATTATGTCACTCGTGAACTCAAGACGACTTCATATGAGGGGGGCGGTTGTCCATTCTTTCTCTGCAAGATTGTTACATACAAAAATGCCTTATCATCTGCGCTTTAACGAAAAAGCACAATGGCCGGTTTTTACTCACCATTGTTAAATTGTTACCATCCACAACGTTCTCAATGAGCATGGCTTTGTCTCCTTTCTGATCAATTGTCAACTTGTTGCCATCCAGTTTCATGACCATCTACAAAGTGTATGAATACAAATTTATCGTTCTTTCAACTAAGTAATTTTGAATTTGTTCCGCCATCGTAAACATTTACTTGCAAATATCAATGATAGTACCTCATGAAGATCAAATATGCATTCACTTAGGAATGGGCGCACGCCGATCGATTGACTTCCCTAGGCAAATATGCTTCGTATGGACTGTGATTGTCTGGGTGAATGCAATCAAGCCCTAAACAGTTCTGTATATGTATGTATACACGGACACACATATATGTATGCATATACATTAATTAAGTACGCATCGTCTAGTGGGTTGCTGAAAGTCAGTACAATCCAGTTTATCCTTTCTACTGCACCTATCTCCGGAGTTTCAAAGTCCAACGTCGGTATGACGCGATACAGAGAATTGGCTGACCGTCGCTTTCGGTTGAGATTAGTGGAGACAGTCAGCCAAGAGGACTAGCACATTTAATTACACCAAGTTTACATGGAGAAGATGTCCCAGTAAAAACAAGTATAAAAAAGGAATAAATATTGAGTCAGAATCTTGCCTTAACGGGTCGACCATCCAGTGTAGTGTGCTCGAACTCCTCACCCAGCTTGAAATTTGTGTCGTGAGTCACGGGGCCCATTTTTACTTGCATGTTGTAGTGGTCGGCGGCACCTGGGGTGAAGACCAGGACCGAATTGGACATTTGGGTTAATTTGTCTTTGGGTATTTCGAGCCCCAGGCGCTTAGCTAGCACACTCACGTCATCACTGCTTTTCACTTGCCACGATCCGTAGAAGGCTTCCATGCTGAAGTAGCTTCAAACGAGAGAGAGAGAGAGTAGGACTACCGACATGGTATTCAGCCGTGCATTTTTATAGTGAGATGGGCCTGCACCGACGGTGAGTGTGCTGCTTGCACGCTGATGGCTTGTGATTTTGCACCCCTGAGTCTGGCGTCATTGGTGTTTCGGATCGTCATCTATGGTGCTGGCGGTTTCGAGCAGTGCTCTGTCTGTACTACAGCATTGAGGCCGCAAGTAGCCCGAGTAGGCACAATAGAAAAGCAACAGTTGCACCATAAGTATTCTTCATCAATTCTTGTCAACCTGTTCTGACCTTGTGCATTTCGTTTCGATGAACATAAAGTGCATGTTTGAAAATGACCTTACTGGACAATTGACAAGTGTCAGATCACGGCACACCGTTCACTTTTTTCATTGTCATGGAGTCGGAATCAACGCGTCTGTGATACCGTTGTTTGACTCAGAGGACAGCCTAGGCACTTTATGTCGCCCTTCGGCATCCGATGAGTCGTGTTTGAGCCTAAGCCTGTTCGACCCTGAGCCCCACCTTGCTCCTCCTCCAGTTCTGCTTCCTGCCGTTTGATTTGCGAATCATCGGCATTTCCATAATGACACGAGTACAGCTCTGCAAACTCGGTGCTGCTGCGGTTAGAGCCAGTCGACTCATCTGCCGTGGAATCCCTTCAGCTGCATATGTGGTGTAGCAACACTCTATAGGTCTCATTGTTGATTGAAGGTCTTCGTCCTGGTAGTATGTCCCTCGTGACCTCTAGACGGCACTTTACGAGGTGAAAGTTGTGCATTCTTACGTTATCTCCCTATCGTCTATTATTTTCACGAAAAGGCAAACTGACTGGTTTTGACTCCCCATTGTTAAATTATTACCATCCACAACATTTTCAATAAGCATTACTCTGTCCCCTTCCTGATCAGGTGCGACAGAAACCCGGCAGTCACAGCACAATTAGTCCGAATCAGTCCTTGCCAACCTGTACTGACCTTGTGCATTCCGTATCAGTGAGCACGTTGTGCGGGTATGAAAACGATCTTACTTGACAATTGACACGTGTTAGCTCACGGCACTATTTCGCAGCTCATTCCCTTCTTCTTCTTCATTCATCAAAAGGCTCTGGGATACCGTGGCTTGCCTTTTAGGATGACCTATGCTCTTTATGCCTGACCCTCCCCCCCCCCTCCTCCACCTCTTATTCCTCTTCCTTCTCCTCCTCCTCCTCCTCCTCCTCCTCCTCCTCCTCCTTCTTCTTCTTCTTCTCCTCCTTCCCATCTGCCTACAGGAACTGGTCAGTCGATGTGAGCTGCTGGCGAACCTCCGGCCTCTGCCACCCAGATCACGTTTTCCTCATCAGCGATAAGTGTAGTTAACGATTCCCCGTTGACTCCTCGTGTATAACTCGGTAAAGAGACTGGATGGAATATGCTGCAAAATCCATGAAAAAAATATGCAAGCGAAACCTGTTGGAGAACATTGATGAACCGTCGGACACTTAGTGCGGACGGGGGCTTCAGTAGAATTTCTTTATTTCAAGTTAAGCTGCTACACTATGAGTCAACGGGGAATCGTTTGCTACACTTATCGCTAACGATGAAAATCTGGTCGCGGCTGCCGAGGTCAGTCATTTTGGCTGCGATCACCCATCGGCCTATAGGAACTGGCCGGCCGATGGGTGATCGGTAAGAAAAGTAGGTAGAATATGCTGCACAAACCGCGTAGAAACAATTTGGCAGCAAAATACAATGGAGAACAATGATTGCTCATCGGACAGATAGGGGGGAACTGGGGCTTTAATATAATTTCTGCATTTCGTTTAACGTGCAATTTACAGTAGGTGGGCTAACTCATGAAATGTCAACAGAAATTTCGAAATGCGTTTCGTTTCGAAAAGATTAATTAAGGAGGATTGTCAAGCCAACCATCATGGAGCATAATTCTATAATAATTCAGTTACCCCAGGATGCCGGCTTTCGAACAAAGTTCCTTGCGGCTACATACACTAGCTATACTGTGTAAAAAATGACTACATATGTAGCATGCATTTTTTCATTGATTTTCGATGCCCTTTATGATTCAATTATATCCCATGGAAAACATGCATAAATATATTCATTCTTTGACTCTTTCGGTAGAAAGTGACATCTTCCCATTTTATACTAGAAGAAAGTGTATGATTCGGATTTTAAAAGTTTCTACTTGTGAGCTTTTTTAATATTGTGAAATGGCCGTTCGTAAAACGTCATGTCTCTGCATTTACCAATGTGGCTTATAAAGTTAAAATATGGCTCAAATCCACTGTTTAATTTTATGAACCCCATATGGTCTCCTTTTAATAAAGTAGAGAAATGAATGTTTTTCCGTACACGGAAAATATACGGCTTGTAGGTTTGAAACCCTGAATGAAAGTACGACAGCAGGTCGGGTTCAGAATTATTCGGAAATTAGAAAAGTTTTTAAAATCGAATTATACTCTTCCTTCGTGCATCATATTGGAAGAAGACGTGATTGTTTACCGAATGATTGGAAAAATGAATATTTTTATGTATCTTTTCCATGAGATATAAGCGAACCCTTAATGGCATCGAAAATCAATGAAAAATGCATGCTAAATAAGTAGTAATTTTTTTATGGGGTATGTTTTTTGGATGCAGACGAAAAGAAGTTTTTTTCGAAAGCCGGCATCCTGGGGTAACTGAGTAATTATAGGATTATGCTGCACGATGATTGGCTTTACAACCCTACTTAATTAGTCTTTTCGAAACGAAAACGCATTCCGAAATTTCTGTCGACATTTCATGAGTTAGCCCACTTACTGTAGATAGAAATGGTAACTTGGAAGGAGTTATGACGACAGTTCCACTGTCGTTTCTAACGCTGTCCACCAGGCCTCATGGTGGGAGCAGTGGAACGGTGGCTTGGACGTGGACCAGTTTACAGTGGCTTGGTAAATTTCCACTGCAACCGCTGTCCTCTCTCCTCCCCCATCCACCTGTGACCGGTGTTAAGGTTTACAGCTACGCGAGAACACACCTAAAGTTGTTACTCTTACCAAAGCGAACTCAAATCAAGCCACCCCTATATTCACTATCAACAGGCCTTGCCGTTTTCTAATGACAGGCAGGCACGTTGACTTGTGCATGACTTAGTTTATAGTGTAAGTAGACTTGCACAGCATCTATCGCACTCTCCCCTCCAGACTCCCCACCTGGACCCGGTGTCTAGACAAATTCAAGAAGACTGGATGTGAGGGAGGACGCAGGTGGCTGGCACAATCGGACCCGCACCTAGTCCTACCGCTACAACCCCTGATCCACATTTATCTCATGATCAGACCAGTGTTAAGAAGGCCGGATTTGGGGTCAGGCGTATTGGTTGAAACACCTGAGCGGCCGTCTGCACGTGCTACACACGTCCAATCACCATGGACCAGGTTTTCACTAAATGAGAATGTGTGACTCATTTGCCGCATGCGTAAAGCTTCAATGGAAGCCCTGTCAACAAGGAACCACCTGGTCTGACTCTCACTTCACCAGTCAGCTTCTCCAGACACTGGACCGACTGTGAGTTCTGATTCGTATTGTCAGTAGGCAGCCATCCGAACCCCGACGGCCAGCGCAGGAGTTTCGGATCAGTTCGCACGCGCGCTAGAAAACTGAAAACACACTTGCCTTATCAATAGCATTAGGTCTGTGACCCAGTTGCTTGATTCGACTGCTAACTGCTGACATTTCTACAAGCATTGAAGAAGGAAACACGATCGCTGGGACAAGAGCTTTCTTAGCCTGACGTCTCGGATTCCTGCACGAATCCATCATCAGAGACAACAGCAGATACGGGTGATTCATGCACAAGGGGCTGCAGTATTTAGAGGATGCAGTCGCCATGCAACCGCATACATATGAGCATTCACGGCTCCCCCCTTCATCAGGGATCCTCGAACGTGGTGTGATGGCCGACATTTGCATTGTTAATTGCTGCAATTTCATCACGTGCGTTGGAAGTTGGTGTGATGATTGCTAGACCATCTGACGCATCGACACTGGTGTTGGGAAAAATGCTCACACGTGCTCTCCCTGCGTGGCTAATTACTCCGCATAGGCGAAGTCTCAGCATCTAGAATGGAAGGGGAAGTTCATTGCGCTTATTAATGGACTAGGGGCCAGTAAACCATAATTAAAGTTGCTCCCGGCTCACGTGGTTGTCGCCTCGTGCGAGGATTTCGGCCTCGTCGAATTTGAATGTGTGGCCGGATCTCGTCGAATGAGCCGCAACTTGAGATCTGGCGTCATTTCTCCGCACCTCTGCAGCGTGTTCGACCATTCTCGTTTGGAGCTGTTGTCCGGTTTCTCCGACGTAGTTGTTTTGTCCGCAACTGCACCAGATCCGATAAACAACTCCAGACGTATCTAGCCGTGGCAGCGGGTCTCTCGGTTTCATTACCAGACACCTGATGGTTGCCTCCGGTTTGTGTGCAACTGCAACCCCAGGTGATGCGAGAAGGCGGCCGACAGCTTCCAAAACGTTCTTGACATACGGAAGTGCCCACCAAGATTTGGTGTCCGTGCGGTTGGGCCTTTCGTCGGAGGTATTGTAGTTCGGCGGCTATTCAAAGCCAATGGCTATCCGCGCAACTTTGTCGACCGGCGCATACTCAAAAGGCACGAAAGGTCTAACAGTCAACTTTGTCTTTTTTTCCGAACATCAGGTCTTCGAAGGTTGCCTTACATTCTGCGCAAATCGCTGCAGGGCGAAGCAGTTTTCATGCTACACATTAGCTGACACTGTCTGAAAATGCTGCCTGTTGATTAGGAAGATGGGGTAAAGCAATCATACAGGAAGCACTGCTCTACTTACCCGTGGATATTCAACCATGTGATACTGTGGCAAATTGACAGGTTTTCAATGAATAGGATGAATGGCAAGAATACCGCCTAATGCTTAGAACGGCAAGTCACCGTCCCTGCCTGTGGGGCACACGGTGGACATTGTCAGCGACCGAACAACTCCCGGGGGGGTCTGATCAAATCGCACAAGTGCACTACAGGTATCAGTACGTGAGTCGCGCCTGATGCCTGAAATCGCCCCACATGAGCACAGCCTGTCGAGGTGCGGCATGTCGGTGCGTATGTATGCCGCGCGAACAGCACGCCACGCAGGATCTCCTTACTACGTAGAGTAGTACAAGAGTACGAGTAATGTGCAGTCAGCATTCGTCCGCACTGCTCTTGCGGTAGGGACGAGCGAGCACCCCTGCTCATCACTGCAATCGGTTCAGAAATGCTGCATTTTCCACGTCTGCCTCAGACATGTGCACCGCCCGACTTGACTCCACTCACGAGCCGATGAGGTGTTAACCGAAACACTGTAAATGTGGTTTTTCATTTGGTCAGAAATGTGGGTGGGTTTGCAATACTATTCGCCATGAAGTAGTCGTTTTGATATCAGCAGACATTGCAATATCATGGTGCCTTAAGCGTGAGGACGAAAAAACCCACTTAGCAAAGAAACACAGTGGTGTTTGGAAATTTATTTTGCTTTTTTGAATGTGAAAGGCAATTTAAACGAACATATGAAGATATAAAATTTAGCAGAGGATTGGGTCCATATTGGGAGAATGCTATTACCGAAAAACACAAGGGAGACTGGAATGGCTATTTCTGGCTTATTAGCGGTTAGAGGTGTGGACTTCTAACTAACAGGTCGCGAGTTCGGGGCTCAGGTGTTCCACACATTTCGGGGTTGGATATGACTGGCTGACGACGGCTTATAAGCCAGAAATGGCCATTCCAGTCTCCCTTGTCTTTGTCGGTAATAGCATCCTGCCTATATCATGCGCCGCTGTGCGGCTGCTGGTTGGGCTCGCGAGAGAACCCGTAAGGTACGAGGGAACGAGTGAGTTCCGTAAGAACGATCGGTGAGCGTCCCCTACCATTGATCCATATTGTTAACATTATAAGCCACATTGGTAAATGCAGAGATATGACGATTTATGGACGGCCATTTCACGCTATATAAAAGTCCCACAAAAAGAATCTTAGTAAAACCGAATTATGTCCCCCTTCGAGCATAAAATTAGAAGAAGACGTAATTTTCAACCGAATGAGCAAAAGAATGAACATTATTATGCATGTTTTCCATGAAATATAACTGGACTTTAAGAGGCATGGAAGATCAATTAGACGAATTCTTGCTACGTAAGTAGTCATTTTATACAGGTTGTAGCTTTTGCATGCAGCCGGAAGGAAGCTCATTCGAAAGCCGGCATCCTGTGTTAACTAAAATATTCTAGAATAAAGTTGCAGGCTAACTTGTTTTTCAACGTTACTTAATTAATCTTTTCGGAAGGAAAACGCATTTCGGAATTTTGGTTGACATTTCATTAGTCAGCCCACCTGCTGCATGTGAACGGCAATTTAAAAGAGAACGGCTTGAATAAAAATAATGCGACCTTCAGGGAAGCCTGGTGGCGTGCATGGCAATAATTGCTGGAGCTTCAGATAGCAATCTCAGCAACTAGAGTCCTGAGGCCAGTCTGTGCTAAAAGGTAGCTCCCTGACTGTGAGTCGAGCCGGACCGGCCTGCGCGAGAACCAGGAGTCCCAACTGCTAGGCCATGCACATCAGTCTGCACGTATGTACAGTAGACTTCACCTGCGTACGGCTACGCGGACGTCATCGCGGCGTGGAATGCGCAGCGGCCTGCGTGTGCATAATCACGCATTGTTGCGTTCGCCATCCCAGCCATGCTGGGGCACATACTGCTCATTTGGAGTGGCCACTTGACAATTATGAATGACAAACGCCTGCCAAAACAACAACGTAATCGGGACATTGCTTCCGGGGTGTTTATAGATGTCTGTGGAAAGACACCTTCCCTTTTTCTGTGGAGCACACCGTGGACATCGTTGGCAACGACGGTCGAACTGTCGTTTGGACAAGGAGGGCAGAGAAACCGTTGGAAGATGTAGGTGATATTACTCTTTTTACAACACCCTCCCTCCATATTCTCACACACCGCCTGTGTCTTTTATGACGAACTTCAACTGATTTCTCTCATTACTGACGTGTTTTGATTTACCCCAATCCTATATAAATGTACTGACCGGACGAGAATTCATCGAAAGAAAACTTATGCTTGCCAACAAGTCTTTTGAGTACTGACATGGGGATTTTCGCAACTATAACAAGTGGTAATTGTTGTATTAGCCGAGGACTGGTGGATTGATAAGGACCGGGGTCAGCACGTCGAGGATATGGTGAATTTGGTCTGCGGCAGACTTTGTGGGGCGCTAGAGTGGTATTGAGTTGCTTATTCACCGAGGTAGCTACTGAGACCGACGCGATCATGGTCGTCGGCCACAGCTTCCAAGCAATTTGGTAAGATCCCTGCGATCGTATGGAAGGACCTTATAGTTGATTCAGCGACGCCTCAAGTGAAGGGCGTATGCAGCCAGTTTTAATGTAAATTTCTTGATTTGAACTCCTCACTCGCTGGAATGTGTTCCTCGGGTGAGGGAATAAGAGCTCTTCCCTCCACCCACTGCCCTATTTCATGTGGATCTCTCGCTAAATTTCGAAGTGAGCAGCAGTTGTTATTTCTACGAACTGACTTTAACCCAAACTTCTAGTATTTACCCTTAGCGTAACCCCATAACTCCTTACTCTAAGTCTACTTCGAATGTTAACCTTCAAAATATTAACCGTAGGCCTAAAGATAACACACTAACCCTCCTATTCCTGGACCTTCCACTGACCCATAGCCTTAACTCCAACCCATCCTGTACGTTAGCACTATTTTGGGAACAGTTGTAAGGCCACATCTAGATTATGCTATTCACATCCGGCGACTCTCGATTTAGAAGGAAATAGTTCAAAAATAGTCTGTCAAGTTAATCGAAGTTTAGTAATTATTGCCATGTGCGACGCGTCTAAACTAGAAAGAGCTCTCTCTTCCGGATGGTACACATTTGCTCAGTGACTTGGTGGAAGCGATATCTATCGTACGTCCATCATCAAAACGTCAAGGCAAAGCCACTTTTGGGTCAGAGAAAGTTTCTTGCTTGCCCATAAGCATGCTGATCACAGACTATTATTATGGAAAATCATTTACTTTTGTGATGAGACCTTCTTTTCAGAAAAGTCTCCGAAGTCGGCCCAGATAGTCGTGTTAGGAGAGGACTTCTCATGGTAACACACTGCCTCGAAAGTATCTTTTAAGAATTAACGACGCCGAATGGTTTGGATGATCATCCAATTCGGAGAGCGACCGATCTAGCTTCCAACAAGGGACACCACCGAAAGCAGGGTGTTCAACGACATCGTATACGGACAGCAGTCGTCGACGTCGAATTAACATTGCAATGTTGCAGGCTAATGTTCATGTTCACCGCTCAAAGGATGTGGGATTTTAATCTAGCTTACGATTGTTATCTAATTTATCAGACCATGGTTAGTCATTCCGCCTGCAGCCTGCGAAGCACATTTAGTCCCGCCAACAGTCCCGATCACAATCTCATCGAAATAAAAAGAAACTGGGTCAACGCAAAAGCTGAGTTTTGTGCCCTGCAAATGTGTAGATAAAACCACCATAGACAAATTATCGATTTTCATGTACTTCCGATTTGCGACAATAGTAAAAGCGAAGGCGACATCCAACAACGTATTAATATGTTGTATATGTTATTAATGTTTACTGTGTCTTTCTGTCATAATTTCACTCTCTGCTGAGAGTCATATCCGCTCTTAGGTAATTGAACTGTCATACAGTTGTTTATGATGATTTCGATTAGACAAATTATTTCTTAGTTTCCGACAGCCCCTGGTGACAGCAGTGAAGCCTCGGTGCCATCGCCGGTCAACTGTGCATTTACTGAGTAATAGGATGAAGTTCATAACCTGACCCCCAGCATAGAGCCACTGATGGCAGTGCCTGACCGCACTGCGTTAAATCAACAGAAGTGGTATCAACACGATGTTTGAAGCATGAGGGCAAAAAGGAATTCGGCCTAGTAAAGCAACAAAATGGTGCCAAAGAAGCACATTGCGCGTTCAAGCGTAACCGGTAATCTGAAAAGAGGGGGCCTTCGGCACCAATAATGTAACTGGACGATACGTTTGATTAGGAGGAATTAAACTTCACATATGTTGGATAGAAATCAAGTACAGCATGACAATAATTGGTAGGAGTTTCACATAGCAGACTCAGCAGTCAGAGTACTGAAGCCAGTCTGTGGCAAAAGGCGGCTCCCCGACCGGGAGTCGAACCCGGGCCGCCTGGGTGAGAGCCAGGAATCCTAACCGCTAGACCATCGGGGACATGCA